AGCCTTGAGCTGAAGAGCTGAGGGACAGCGCCCAGGCCCAGAGTTCAGTCCCATGACCGGGCCCCCCCCCAAAAAAAAATAAAATAAAAAATACACTTCAAAAATTAAAACGGGGAACCTATAAAAGGAGCTCCAAGAAACATCCTTCATCACGCCTTGTTTGTTATTAATTTTCTAACCTTGGACATTAATAGAAAATCTACAGCTGATCAGCTCTGGCATCTATAAACAAGTCAAAATTATGCTACTGTTTTTTGGAAAGATTCCCTAACCCATCAATGGAAAGGTCCTGACCCCATACTAATTTGGGGCCGCGGGTCTACCTGTATATTTGACAACAAAGAGGGCGCAGCTCAATGGCTTTCAGAACACCTTGTTAAACCAATTGATAACAAGACTAACCCTAACCCTCCACCTTCCAGGGAAAGACAGAACCCTGAGAATCCGTCCTTGTTTAAACTTTTCAGATGCTGTTGCCACTGAAAAATTTGATGATCCTCCACCTACTGATGCTGGTTCCAGATGCCATTATTGAAACTGACTCCAGTCATTGGGAATTTCAAGTTTTTGCAATAGGGTTTGACCCTCCACAACTGTTGAATAAGATCCGCTTTAAAAATAGCCAAGTAGGATTATACTTTGATGCCTGTAAACCCACTGTTCCATATACTTGAGGAACTTGTGGCAGCTGGGAACAGAGTTATGCCACAAATCATAAATATATTTGCTGGAAGCATCTGGCCAGTCCAGCAGATAATTGTGATAATGTTGATGAAGGATATTGTCCCTATTGGTCCTGCCCCCATGAACATTCCGGGTCCCTCAGCTCCAATGAGTTGTTGCGTCCTATGGGCAAAAAATGTTTTACAGGTGGCTGTAACCCGGTCAAGTATACAATTACTGACCCATTGGATCCCAAGTGGATATCAGGACTAACAGCAGGAATACAGGTGGATGGCCGAGGGCGAGACCCTTATGGGTTCGTACAAATTAAAAAGGTTTGGATACCCAAACCTACTGTCTCCTGCCCCCCCCCCCCCCCCCCCCCCCCCGCCGCTGAAATTCTTATTCAACAGGTTGTTAATTCCTCCCAAGTTTTTTCCTCTATTGTTGTCCAATTGGATCTGGTGCATTCTTGGACCTTCTCCTTAATATCAGAAATCCTTAAGAGGTCCTTTTTGCTGCTTAATACCACACGCCCGGAATTTTCACAATGCTGCTGGCTGTGTATGCGTCCCTCCTATGAGATATCTTTAGATACGGCTGAGTATTTGGCACCCCCGCCCCCCATGCTGATTTGTTAGAAGTTATCACCTCTTGCAAAGCCTCCCCATATATATATTCTCCCCAGGTTCTGCTGGAGGTCCTACCAGAAAAATCCACATGCATTAACTATATTACCTTTAATCAAACCAAATATTTTTTTAGATTGCTGAAGATTTTTTTAACACTTCTGGCCTACAAAAGGAAGAGACACATTGTCCCCCCACAAATACCTCCTTTTTATGCCAAGATGGCTTATATCCCTTTTTTAGAGGAAATAGGACTAAAGCCTGTATAATTGTTTTTTTGTTCCCCCATATTGATATTCTTCCCGGGTCAGAACCGGTTCCCATTTATTTGACTGAGTTTGCACGCGCCAAAAGAATGCCCGCATTTATTCCCTTTATGGGTAGGCTTGGGAGTCACCGCTGGCGTGGCTGCAGGTGCTGCTGGCATTGCCACTTCCATTTGGCTTCATAACTCCTTACAAAACCAATTGGCTAACGACATTCAAGAGGTAACTCGAATTACCTTGACCATTCAAGAACAGCTAAACTCCCTTGCGCAAGTTGTGCTTCAAAATAGGCGAGGCCTCGACCTTCTTACTGCCAGGCAGGGTGGTCTCTGTGTTTTCTTACAGGAAGAATGTTGCTTTTATGCTAACCAGAGTGGCATGGTTCGGGATCAAATTAGACAACTGCAAGAAAACTTAGAAAAAAGAAGACGGCAAAGTGACTCACCCACTGGATGGTGGGGAGCCAACAGCATACTCCCCTATGTTCTTCCTCTGCTTGGACCCCTTAGTGCTATCCTGCTAATTGTTATTGTGGGACCATGTATTTTTAACAGGATAATTAGTTTCGTAAGACAGCAAATTGACTCCCTGGCATCCAAACCCCTGCAAATTCATTACCACGGGCTAGATTTGGCCGATCAGGAACGGAGGACTGACTTTCATGGAGCCACTGCCTCTTGCTATACAGGCAAGTCAAACTGCAGAGCTTAGGCCTCCTTGGTGGCCTAAACCCGAATCGGCTAGACACACATGCCGTGGGCACCTATGGAAGGGTGGAACCTAGCGGTATCCGTCAACCAGGGCGACCAGACCAAAAACTCGCCGTTCCGGCTTGTAGAAGCAAACCCATCTGCATAGAGGTTGGATCCGTCTGCATTCCTCTCCCCTCAAAAAGGATCATTAAAACGTTCTAGGGGGATGGGTCTCTACTTCCTTCCACTAGTTAAGGCCCTTGTACTACTAGGCCTCTACAAGACTCCGGTCAAGACTTTGTCACCCATTCCCTGTAAATAAATTGGCCCCATTTAATAAAATAAAAAGGGAGGAGATGCGGGGAACCAAGTGCTGTTTGCTAAGAAAGTACAGTTACTACTTTCGATAAGAGCCGTTAATCCTTGGGGCCTACCGATATCCTGTTTGACAACATTGCTTGGCGCCTTCTGGAGATTCCCTACCTATGACCTTTTGCAAGATATATTTTGCTGTTTTGGTGGCTAGCAACCCTATGGATCTGCTGACGTTAATTACCCTGCTCAGCGAGCTATATATACTGCTATGTAAAAAATAAAGTTTGAGACCTTGATCAGAACTCTGTCTTGGTCTCCTTCCTTGTGTCTGGTTTGTCTCTCATTCAGGTCAGTTCCTCTTAGAGCCCTTGTTGATCAACCTTGAGGGCCAGGGTGTGTGTGTGTGTGTGTGTGTGTACATGCTCACTAGTACTTGATCTTGAACTCAGGATCTGGGCATTATCTGAGCTTTTTTGCTCAAGGCTAGAGCTCTATGTCTTGAACTACAACTCTATTTCCAGCTTTTTGATGTTTAATGGACTTTTCTGCCAGGGCTGGCTTCAAACCCCAATCCTCAGACCTCAATCTCTTGACTAGCTAGGATTATAGACATGAACCACCAGCGGCCCAGAATACTTTTTTTTTTTTTTGGTGGTGGTGGTAGTGCTACTAGAATTTGAACTCAGGACCTTGCACCACTTGCTAAAACAGGCGCTGCCACTTGAGCCTTTTTTTTTTAAGAAGAAAACTACTCAGTCTCCAACTGGTTCAGGGCAGCAGGAAAACTCACCCTCATAGACCTCTTTTTTCTTTCCACCCATTAGGATGATTCCAAGAGGATGTCATCTGCTTCAGCCTCCAAGCACATCATCCGACTGTCTCAATATTTGGTGTCTTTGAAGCTCCCAGCAAGTGGCAGAAGTTAGGGGAGGGAAGAGAAGGCCAGACTCAGACCTTGAAAGCCACAGCATCCAACAGGCTATTCAATTCAGCGCAGCTGTCCTTAAAATGTCCCCTAATCTGAGTCCCCTGGGGTGTTGGTTGTTTATCATAAATGTGTTCCCATAAATGGTTCTCCCAATCTGTAAGATAAGAGTAGAAGGCAAAGCTTGAGTGTTGCTTTGCTTGGATGGTCTGTGGGTTGAGCTTTCTATTAAAAAATAATAACTGTAATGTGTGTGTTGGGATGAGGGAGGAAGTTTAAGAGGAGATGGCAGTGGCCTGACTTCTCTGGCAACTGTCATGTATCACCGCACATTGAGGCTCACCAGTCTGATCTGGTTTGACTCCCGAGTCAGTGTCTGATGTAAGTTTGATTCCCTCTTCCATCAGGGTCCGTGCGTCCCACGTAGATAAACCCTTTAAGGTCGAGTCCGTGCGAAGCTCCAGACAAGCACTATCAGCCCCGGAGCATCGCTGCCAGGCTTGGGTTTCCTGGGGCCCCGCCTGTATGATGAAACCCGGGATAGCCATTGCACGCACGGGCTTTTCTGGAGACCTAGGTCCTAGGTTAGCACGAACTCTGGGTCCTTCTTTCTCTTTCTCTTGTTTTTTTCTTTCTTTCTTTTACATAAAGCACAGCGTAGGGACTCTAGGACCCGGAGGGAGCCCCGGCCTCACAGACCGACGCGGGCTGGGGGGCTGGGCCTGGTTGCGGTCTGTCCCCGGGTCAGCGGGTCGGTCTGCTGGGTCCTGGTTCTCACGGGCCTGTGAGCACGGCTCTGACCCCCTACCCAAATCCTCCCCTTTAAGGGACAGCTGGAGACTGAGAGAGGGAGGGGGGTTCCCCATGAGACCCCCCCCCCCCGTGTAGGCGGACTGGCAGGTGGGACCATGGGGCTCGGGGGCCTCGGAGCCTGCGGTTGCCCAGTCTTGGACCCCACCCCCATATCCCCAGGCAGGCCGGGAGAGCGTGGGGTTCGTGCACGAGGGCCGGCCAGGTTAACGTCCGCCTCCCGTGCCGCGGCCCCACAGGCGTCCGACTCGATCGCCCACTTGTGCCCCGGGCACCCAGGCGCTGGGGGTCCCTGTTTTCCCAGCCTGCCACCCCTCAAGTTCCCTCAGTATCTTCTCTGGGCTCAAGTCACGGGCGGTATCCTCACCCCCACCCTACCCCAGCAACGCGACCCTATAATAAACAAGTCTTTCCTTGATCCTCCCCTGCCGCGAGAGCCCTCAGGGACCTTGGCAGCTGCAGCCGCCGCGGATCCCTTCCAGAGAGGGGGCGTGGCCGTGGCTCGGGGTTCGGCCGGGAGCGTTCTAGGGCTCAGTGGGGGTGGGGCCAGTCTGCTGTCACCGGGCAGGAGAGAACGCTGCGAACGTGCGCCGAAAGCTCATTGGCCGCGGTGGGCCACACTCCCGGGTTTAGATTGGTCTGCTGTGCTGAGGAGGCGTGGCCTCGCCGGGCTCGTCCTTATAGGATGCTGGCCGCTGCTGCTAGGGATCGCAGCAGCGCTTGGGGGAGGTGCGGCCTGGTAGGAGCGACAGGTCCGGGCAGCGCTCGGTGGTTGGCACCGGTTCGCGCACCCATTCGAGCAGCAGGACGCACTTGTCCCAGCAGTTCTCTCTGACCGAGCTGTAGCTGGTGAGTGTCCATTTCTGTGTGTGTGTGCTCATCTCAGCCTGGGCTGAGCGGGGTCCTAGCGCTCGCAGTCCTGTCTCAACACCCTCCTCCCTCGACTGACGCTTAGGTCGGTGTCTCTCGTCGTGTCTTTCAGCGGCCTCTGCGCTCCCTCATCCTTGAGCTCATCAGCCAACGTCCTGGCGTCCGACCTCGCCATGCCTAGCCTTTGGGACCGCTTCTCTTCGTCATCCTCCTCTTCTTCAGTCTCGTCCCGAACTCCCACCCCAAATCGGCAGCCGCGCTCGCCCTGGGGGTCGACGGCCCGAGGTGAGGGGCTTGACCGGTGCGCGAGCCTGGAGAGCTCGGACTGCGAGTCTCTGGACAGTAGTAACAGTGGCTTCGGGCTGGAGGAAGGTAAGCAGTGGGCGGGTACCCGACCCGATTGGGAGGGCTTCGAGCTGGCGGGGGGCTGGGGGACGCTGACAACACCGTGAAAGGGGTCAAAGCCGTCGCCTTGGCTTCTGAACCTCAGCCAGACCCAAATTGCCTGGGGCTTGGGGAGCGGGGGAGGAGGGGTCGGAGAGGGGGGGAGGGTACGAGTGTGAGGTGAAAACTGAGGCACGGAGTGGGTGGGGAAGGAGCGCTGCTTCCTTATTAAAACAGCTCCTCCCCCGCCTTGCACGGGTTCGGTGGTGGCTGTTGTAATAACTCTGCTGTGTGCTCTGCCTTCCAGACTCCGTATACCTAGACGGGGTGTCGCTGCCCGACTTCGAGCTGCTCAGCGACCCCGAGGATGAACACCTGTGCGCCAGCCTGATGCAGCTGCTGCAGGAGAGCCTGTCCCAGGCACGCCTGGGCTCTCGGCGCCCCGCGCGCCTGCTGATGCCCAGTCAGCTGGTGAGCCAGGTGGGCAAGGAACTCCTGCGCCTGGCGTACAGCGAGCCGTGCGGCCTGCGGGGGGCGCTGCTGGACGTCTGCGTGGAGCAGGGCAAGAGCTGCCACAATGTGGGCCAACTGGCCCTCGACCCTAGCCTGGTGCCCACCTTCCAGCTGACCCTCGTGCTGCGCCTGGACTCTCGCCTCTGGCCCAAGATCCAGGGGCTGTTCTCCGCCAACTCTCCCTTCGTCCCCGGTTTCAGCCAGTCCCTGACGCTGAGCACCGGCTTCCGAGTCATCAAGAAGAAGCTGTACAGCTCCGAGCAGCTACTCATTGAAGAGTGTTGAACTTCAGCCTGAGGGGGCCGCACTCGTCCCCATGGCATAGAGAAGGGAACTTTTGGGGGGGATGGAGACCAGCAGTCCAGGACTGAGGGACTGATGCCTGTGTTAGCAAACTGACAACAGCCGCCTGAGGGGCCGAGGTTGAGCTAGGGAAGTGTTTGTGAAGAAGCTGGCGCTGAGTTGGGTCGCAGGTGGCTCTCTATTTGGGGCACATGCCCTTAGTACTGTAGCATGAAACAAAGGCTTTGGAGCCCCCCGGGCTTCTGGCTGGATGTGTATGTAGCATGTACCTTATTATTTTTGTTATTACTGATAGTTAACAGCAGTGGTTAGAGCGGGGAGGCAGCTGGGCTGCACTGGCCTCTGCAAGGGGTGTGTGCCCCTGGTAGCCACCAGGAGGCGGGGAGGGTTGAGGAGGTGGCTTGTATATCTCATGGTCTGAAGGGACCAAGTGTGTTTGTTGGTTGTTTTGTATCTTTTGTTTGGGGGACGGGAGCTTCACTACTGACCTGTTGTAGGCAGCGATCTTACAGACGCATGAATGTAAGAGTTAGGAAGGGGTGGGTGTTGGGATCACTTCAGATCTTTGACACTTGAAGAAAATAAACATAACACCTAGGAGCTGCGTCCAACCCATCCTCCCCTGCCATGGAGTGGGAGAGGAGCTGTGAGGGGATGGGGCTGCGTGGGGCTCGGGGGCTGGAACCCCCTTCCCCACAGGAGTGCCACCTGGGTCTTCCATCTAGAACTGTTTACATGAAAATATTCACTGTTCATGAATACACTTGATGTTCAAGTATTAAGTCCTATGCAATATTTTTTACTTTTCTAATAAACATGTTTGTTAAAATGGTTGGGTCTCATCTATGCCATGAGGTGAAAAGGAGGAGCAGGGTGAGTGCTGGTAGAGAAGGAAGGGTTTTCACCAGGCTCTGAGGTCCACCTGTGTGTGTTCCTTAGACCTTTCCAGGACTGCCTGCCAGCCTAGTAACAGGTAGACTGTGCCATCTGTGCCAGTTACTCTGGCTCCCTTGCCTCCCTTGGAGCTACCAGGGGAATGTGCTGGAAAGCACCCCAAGGTGAGCAATGAGTCAGACCTCCCTCAGAGCCAGAGTCTCAGTAGGGAGAACTCACCTGGCCTAGATTAGAAGGCACAAGTTCTTGAACCTAGGAACTAGGCCTTTCTGGATTAGAAGAGCCTTTTTTTGGTACTGATACTAGGGCTTCGAACTCAGGGCACTATCCCTTGGCTTTTTCACTCAAGGTTAACTTTCTATCACTAAAGCTGTTTGCTGGTCCATTGGAGATGAGAATCTGCCTGGGCTGGCTTTGAACAGTGATCCTCAGATCTCAGTCTCCTGAGTAGCTAGGATTAGAGGCCTGAGCTACCAGCACCTGGCTGAGACTCTTGCTGTGAAAAAAAATCTGCAGTCTGGTCTATGTCACGGGACTCATAATTTTGAGCTGTGACATAAACAAGCTGAGAGGAAGAGTTTGAAAAAGGTTCAGCTCAAGCATCTCACCAGACAAGGAACCTAAGCACAGAGGGGCAAGACATGGCCTGCAAGCTGAGGTGTGGCCCAGACAAGAGGAGAAACCCCAATACAAATTGTAGGAGGGCTATCCGAGGTGACCCTGACTCCCCAAGACTTCCTTATCACAAAAGTTAGGGTTGGAGAAGCTAGGTTTCCTTATCAAAAAAAAAAAAAAGCTGGAGTTGGGCCAGAAGACTGGGATTGGCTCAGAAGAAGGCCAAGGTCCTTCCCACTTCCCACTCTCCACTTCTCCCTCCACTCCTGGCATCTAGAGAATTGTTACTTCTTTTGTTTCCCTCCCTGATTCCAAACGGACACTTTGTCCAAGACTGTAAAACAGTAGTTTTTCCATTTTGATTATATAGACAGATTGCTTGGGGCCCTGGTTAAAACCGTTCTCGGGGCACTGGTAGCTCACACCAGTAATCCTAGCCACTCAAGGGGCTAAAAAGCCAGATGTGTGAGTGGGAACAAGTGGGAAAAGATGATTGAGAGCACAAAGCCCTGAGTTCAAACCCTTGTATGGGGGCAGGGGAGCCTAAAACAAAACAAAACAAAACAAAAAAACCCCACCACAACAACAAAAGAGATTTTTCTGATAAGTGGAGAGTAATGTCTTAGAAGTCTGCATCTCCATCCCAGATTTCATGCATGGCCCTGAGATGGGAGATGGCTTAGAAGACCCACATCTCTACTCAGGAGGCTGACAATTAAGGATTAAGGTTTGAAGCCAGCCTGGGGAGAAAAGTCTATGAGACTCTTATCACCAATCAAACAGTAAAAATCCAATAGGGGAGTTGAACTCAAGTGGTAGATCACCCAGCCTTAAGCAGTAAAATATAAGGGACAGTACCTAGGTTGAATTTAAGTCCCAGTGTACCACACAAGTGTGTGTGTGCACACGCATGCACACACTCACACACACACACACACACACACACACACACATATCTTTGGTAGAATTGTATAGCTATCCCCCAAAATAAATCAACTGGGGTTGGGTTTAGAAGTAGATTTGCAAAGGAGTAGTGCTGACAGAAGATGCCCAGAGTGTAGTTTCTAGAAAGCTCTTGCACCTGTCTTTTAGTACATTCTCCTAAGGGCCACCTTGAGAGTAGATGGGGAGGGAGTTTGGAGGCTCTGGCCCTTGAATGACATCTTCTTGACCTTCTTTGTGCTCAACCCCAAGGGGCTTGGGACTGCAAGAGGCAGTGTCTGGGGGCTGCTTTCCCAGGGGCTGAGGTCTGTGCCAGTGCTTGTGACTCTGTGTTCCTGGTCCCAAAACAGGCTCAAAGAAAACAAATGGTCTATCTCCAGAGATAGAGTTTGGAGGCCTGAGCTTGGTGGCTCTGTGGCCTCTTTCCAAGCCCTGGGGATCTGAGTGTATGTCATACCTTTTGGAGTGGGGGAGACTAAGGCCTGAGTGAGGCTTGGGTCCCCAGAAGGCTCAGCTGAGAATGATTCCCCTCTTTTGAAACCACACTGGCTTTTCTCTTCCTCGCCAGGCCCAAACATCTCCTCAAATAGGACAAAAGGAGGTCCAAGCAGGAGCCCTTATAATAAAGGGATAGACTCCTGCTGAGGTCTAAGCCAGTTAGGCCTTATATCTCATTGGATGTGGCAGAGAGCTTTGCCCTGATTATTGGGCTCCTAAGGAAAGATAGAGCAAGTTCTTTTGTTGCTATGCCTGAAAGCTAATAAAGCTTATACAGACACACAAAATCCAACTTAGGAAAATGTTTTTGGTAATTATTGCATTTAGCCTGCAAAATTAGTGTTGGATTTCCTTTCATTGTATAGTATTCCCTCATTTTCATTCCTATTTCCTACCTCATCAGGTCACTGCTCTAGAACTTGTAATTGTTCCCTATTTCTAGATTTCTTTGTCTGCCTTTCAAAACCCTTGGTATTGGCTCCTACCCTCCCTACACCATTTGCTTTATTTTGGAACAAGGCACTATTTGTAGCCTCAGGCTCTGCACTTAGTGCCCTCCACCAGGGATGTGGTTGCTGTTTTGCTTGCAAACCCTGACCTTCCTTTAAGGCCAAAGTAAATTGTAGCCCTCTTTCATGGTTCTCCTCTGCCTCTCCCCAGCCCCAATCTTTCACAATGATAGTGTTGGTCTCTGACTTCTCTGAAGGGTACCCTTCAGTTCCCCTCAGGCCTGACATAGAGTGGTTAACTAAAGTACTGACTGGCTGAGCCTTCAAGCATCCTCTCAGCCTAGGCTCTGAAAACACAAGCTGGACACTGGTGGCTCATGCCTGTAATCCTAGCTGAGATCTGAGGATCACAGTTCAAAACCAAACTGGGCAGAAAAAAAATGTTATACTTTTAGCTCCAATTAATCACTAAAAAGCTAAACGTGAAGCTATGTCTCAAGTGGTATAGTGCCGGGTCTGAGCAAAAAAGCGAAGGGACAGTGTCCAGGCCTTGAGTTAATGCCCTAGGACCGGAGCACATGCGTGCGCATGTGTATGCGCATGTGCGCGCACGCACACGCGCGCGCACACACACACACACACACACCTGCCAGCTGTATCATCCCAGGCTAAAGAGAGAAGAAAGGATAGAAACACTTAATTGTTTGCCTTTATGTCTAATTTAGGGGACTACTCAAGATCGAGGTCTGGGTATGGAGGTAGTAGTCTCAATGGCTTAAGGCCACATGCATTAGAATTGGTGAAACCAGAGTTTAAATCCTAGTTCAGACATCTCTCAGCAGATGACCTGGAGCAAGTCACTTTACCTCTGGAGACTTCTGTTTCCTCAATGACATGACATGAAAGTGATAAGAAGATCTAACTGGGGTCTACCCTGTGTAGCAGTTGCCAGGGGCTGGTAGGGCCTGGGCCGTGATGGAGCTGGTGCTGACAAGTGCCCTGTAATTGGGACTCCCTGGAGTGCCCTTTCCTCTGGCCTTCTTGTTTTCCTCTGATATATTTTCAAAAGTCATCATCTTACCCGACACTGGTGGCTCATTCCTGTAATCCTATCTACTCAGGAGGCTGAGATCTTAGGATTGAGGTTCAAAACTAGTGCAACCAGAAAAATCTGTAAGACTCCTATCTCCATTTAACCAGCAAAAAGCTAGAAGTGGAGGTATGGTTCAATGGTAGAGCTCCAGCCTTGACTTAAGGGGTAGAATCTAGGCCCTGAGTTCAATCAAGCCCAAGGACTGGTGTGTGTGTGTGTGTGTGTGTGCGCGCGCACGCGCGCGAGCATATGCCACCTCTCCCCCCCCCCCCCCCCAAGTTCTGGGGTTGTAGCTTGGTGGTAGAGTGCAAGGCCCTGGGTTTGATCCCTTGTTGTGGTATGCTGGGGAAGAAAAAAAAACAGCTACTCAGGAGGCTGAGACAGAAGGACCATTTGAATACCGAAGGCCACCCTGGGCAACACAAGGAGACCTTATTTCAAAACAACCACATGAAGTGCTATGCTATGGGCACAGTCTAGCATGACTATAAACATATTCAATCCTGGGGAAAAGGCAGTAGGCTTGGAACTATCTTGGGGAAATAATTCATAGTTGTGGAATGCTTAGCTGCTTGGATCTTATCATCCAAATACCTATGAAGTAGGTATTTTATTATATTCTTCCCATTTTACAGATGAAGAACCCAGGAGTGAGAAGACCTGTATGATTTCCCTGCTGCCCTTTCTTTCTTCGTCTTTGAGCCCACTGGATGGGCCTGGATGACATCTATGAGAAATTCTTTTGTGTATGTGTGTGTGTGTGTATTTGTGTGTGTGCACACATGTATGTGTACGTGTAAGTGTAAACATGAGCACCAGTACTGGGACCGGAACTCAGGACCAGTGCACTCTCAGCTTTTCCTGCTCAAGGCTGTTGCTTTTACTACTCCAGCCACACATCTACTCCACCTTTTTTTTTTTTTGTAATGGGGCTTGAACTCTGGGCCTGGGCGCTGTCCCTCAGCTCTTCAGCTCAAGGCGAGTGCTCTACCACTTGAGCCACAGCGCCACTTCTGGCTTTCTGGTAGTTTATTGGAGATGAGTCTCAACTTTCCTGCCCAGGCTGGCTTTGAACCGTGATCCTAGATCTCCGCCTCGGGAGTAGCTAGGATAACAGGCATAATCCACTGGTGCCCAGGGACATCTATGAAAGAGTCTTTGAGCAAGGCTGTCATGGCAGCTACCAGAGGCTGCTCTTTTTCCCCAGCCCCAGCCCATCCCCCGCTCTGGGTACAAGGCTAGGAGGTTGGGGGTGAGGAAGAATAGAGCCACCTTGCAGGTCACTGGACAAATAAATGCTTGGCTGCTTTCTGGGGCCAGTCCAAGTCTGGAGGAAAA